CTTCTATGGAACATCTCCCCATTGTACGTGTGCACACGCACAGGACATGCCCAGTGTGTATGTGTGCACGTGCGCATTTATTCCCCGTTCTCCCGCCATTTGGTTTGATGTGGTTTAGTTTAATTCAGATACATACTATGTTGAAGAGTTTTCAATGTGTTTATTCTATTTGCGTTAGCAATCAACAGAGCCAAAAAAAAAAATACTAAAAAGAGGAAGAAAATTACCATAGATTTATAGAACAATGTGTTTGTTCTAAGATAATTTGAGAAAAGGTTTATGTGATGAGCATCTTCAGCTGGTCTCACAGTCTCCTAGCTCCTTCCTCTGAAGGAAGTATTGAGATAAGAATGTTGATAAGATAAAAGCAAAGCAATATACTCTCTTCATTACCCAAAAAATCAATTTGTCAATCAAAACTGAAAATCATGCTTTTTTACCTTTATTTAAACTTAGAAAATAAGAATTTTGAAAAAAAAAATGCATCTCTGTTGAGTTATCTTCAATTTCAGAACCTTTAGAAACAGAATTATATTTTATCTCTAAGTTTTAAAAAGCCTATTCTACCATAAACAAAATCTAAGATCCATGTTTTGCACGTTTGGCTATTACAATAAAATGTACACTTCAGTCCATTCTCCAATTTTTTCCAGTTGGTTAAAGTAAGTCTTTCTCCAACCCCAGACTCCTATTTCCCCTTTCTCCCTGCCCAAACCAACAAGTTATCAGTTCCTGGGGGAAATCTTTAAAAAAGTTCAATCTACCTATCTATATATACATACACACACACATATGTACATACATACATACATATACAGATATGCATAAACTCATGTATACATGTATGCGTGTGCATATACACATGTATGTGTGTGCGTGTGCACATACATATATGTATATGTGTGCATGTACATGTATATGTGTGTACATACACATATATGTATATGTCTATATAGTTTCATATACATATGCTGGCATTTATATTTATATATATGTATTATATCTTTTTTCATTTACAGAAGTATACCATACCCAATGTTTCCACAAATAAATAGATCATAAAGCATGTTAGAAGGGTATAAAAGCTATGGAGAAAAATAACAGCAAAAATAGGGAATAGAGGTGAATTAAAATATCCTCGAGTGAACATTTCTTTGCATACTTAAATTATATCTATATCTATATCGATATAAGTCTAAATTTTTAGACAAAATACAAATATAGATAATAAAGTATGTCTATAAAATAAGATTTTATAAAGTCTGTCTATAAAAGTATGTGTGTATATAGATATATAGATATACAGACATAAATAATAAAGTATATCTATAAAATAAAATTCTAGAAATGGAGCTGCCAAGCCAAAGAATATGAGCTTTTATAGATATTAACAACTTGTGTTATAGAAATAACAATTCAAACTCAAACCCATAGAGAGTACCTGTTTTCCCACAATCTCCCAACAGTGTGAACTAGCTAACTTTTTTATATTTGTCCTTCTGATAGCCTAAAAATAAGTGTTGTTTCAATTTGACTTTTGATGAGGCATAGCATATTTTCCTATATTTATTAGCAAGACATGTATCTTTATCCGGGAACTTCTTTGAGTCCACAGCCTACTTTCTTAATGTGTTGCTGATCAGTAGTTTTTATACAAGGGTGGGTACTTCAAAAAGTTCATAGAAAGATTTGGATTACCTTTTAATTCTATTTCCCACAAACTTTTTGAATCACCCTTATATTTGTAAATACTTATGGCGAGGAAATACAGCTTTAACCTTCATATTAGCTGCAAAGTTATTATATTTGTAAATACTTATGGCGAGGAAATACAGCTTTAACCTTCATATTAGCTGCAAAGTTATTATATTTGTAAATACTTATGGCGAGGAAATACAGCTTTAACCTTCATATTAGCTGCAAAGTTATTATATTTGTAAATACTTATGGCGAGGAAATACAGCTTTAACCTTCATATTAGCTGCAAAGTTATTATATTTGTAAATACTTATGGCGAGGAAATACAGCTTTAACCTTCATATTAGCTGCAAAGTTATTATATTTGTAAATACTTATGGCGAGGAAATACAGCTTTAACCTTCATATTAGCTGCAAAGTTATTATATTTGTAAATACTTATGGCGAGGAAATACAGCTTTAACCTTCATATTAGCTGCAAAGTTATTATATTTGTAAATACTTATGGCGAGGAAATACAGCTTTAACCTTCATATTAGCTGCAAAGTTATTATATTTGTAAATACTTATGGCGAGGAAATACAGCTTTAACCTTCATATTAGCTGCAAAGTTATTATATTTGTAAATACTTATGGCGAGGAAATACAGCTTTAACCTTCATATTAGCTGCAAAGTTATTATATTTGTAAATACTTATGGCGAGGAAATACAGCTTTAACCTTCATATTAGCTGCAAAGTTATTATATTTGTAAATACTTATGGCGAGGAAATACAGCTTTAACCTTCATATTAGCTGCAAAGTTATTATATTTGTAAATACTTATGGCGAGGAAATACAGCTTTAACCTTCATATTAGCTGCAAAGTTATTATATTTGTAAATACTTATGGCGAGGAAATACAGCTTTAACCTTCATATAAAGCCTCCCCACCACCTCACCCTATCCTTTTAAGCCCTTCTTATTGGCTCTTTGCTTGATCTCTCATATCAAAACCCGCCCTGCCCTTTTTCCCTATATAAGCTGTGCCGCCCTGAAAATAAACGGAGTTCCGGCTTTGACCACTCTCCTGGCTCGGTGGTGTTCTTTCTCGGCCCCCAGGGAGGAAGGTCCTGGGGGGGAAGGGCCGTGCCAGCGACACTCATCATCCCGCTCAGCCCCACAAGGGACCCCGGCTGGACCGGGGTCTCTTCCCACTCGGTTTTGTCGGCCTCTGGCTCAGGGAGGCCCGACATTAATGGAAACTAAAGTGGATTTTGAAAGCATAAGAGGATTAATTAGTATCAACAAAACAGAGAGGAAGGAATGAATGTAGTGTTTAGGCAAGGAAGGAGAGGAGCTAATTTTACAGAAGGAAAACAAATTTAGATGTCCTTTCTTTGATTCCTTTTTGTCAAAAACTTGTAGCCCAATTTTAAACTCCTTATGCATTTCCACTTTCAGTCAGTCTACAATGGAAACTAGCTTGAGATAATTGAGGATAGAGGAGGTCAAAGTGCAGATTTTATTTGTGTGGTGGTAAAGAGGAAACTGCGGATAGGTGTTCAAAGGATCCTTTGCTTCACATACAGTCTACTAAGACCAAAAATTTTGGGTACACTCCAGGATGTCAGATTACTTCAACCATTAAAGATGAGTGGGCCAAGGGGATGATGTAGAAAAAGGGGACGAGATCTCAAAATCTGATACATGTTTATCTTACTTTCAGTTAAATATTATTTTATCTAATCTTACTTAGTAAAATAATCTTCTTTAAAATATTTTGGGAACCACACGCCTTTTCTGAGAATCTGACAATTAGGAAGGTAAGTTTTTGGCAGTACCTACCATTGTTTCATTCTCAAATCACAGTTGAACTGCCATGTAACTTTCATATGCTTAAATTATGTAACATTACTGAATCCATGCTTCTGCAACACAAGAAATGCCAAATAAAGGATTGAGGCTTTTTTTGGTATTACTTATTTTTGTGCATTTCTACTCTACCTAATTAAAATTTTAAAGGTTTTTACAAGATTTGAAGATTTTCCTAGTTGCCAACTGTACCTAGAGGTTCAGAGTATAGTATACTTAATGTAATTGTAATATTTTAAGCCGGTGTTCTATTTTCTTCTATATTACCCATCCAAAGAACAAAAGTCGGTAACTCCAATAAAATCTAATAGTCTTTGAAAATTCGAGGGTGAAGATTTAGTTCTCTCAAGCCATGAGATTAACTCTTGCTAAATGCTGAATAATGTTTTGATGCTCTATCACATGTGCATGCAAGAATACTAACAGAGGGAGGGGAAGTAATTTTTATTAATACTTTTCATGGACCAAATTACGTTTTCTTCAGGAAGAGGAAGCAACAGATAACACTTTAGGTTCACATATTGTAAACAGGGATGGTCATTTAAGAATCATTATTTTGTCACAGTTGAACTGAAAAATCGGCATTTCTGAACGCCATTACAAAAGTACAAGTCTGACGAAATGTTTAATAAGAGGTCAGGACCAGGTTAAGGCGAAGGAGTCCCCTGGAACGCAAATTTTAAGTTGGTTAGACTACGACCCTAAGAGCGTGCGCCTCAAAACTTGCGTCCCAGGCACCTCCCTCGCCCCAGCCCGCCCAGGCTCAGTAAATGGAATGAGACCGAAGGGCACGTGCACTTAAGCCAGTCACCACATCCAACCCACCAGCTGTTGCGAAGTAAAAATTTAACACAAATTGTCAAGTCACATCTGGTCTTATAAAGCGCCACCTTGATGTGACGGGCGTTGCCTCCGGAGTAAGGGGAGCCACCAAAAACAAAACACCAGTCCGTCCTCGCCGGGATATACCGCGCCCTCGCTGGCTTATGGGACAACTCAAAGTCCCGGCGCCTTTCCCTATAACAGACACCTGCCTTCCTTCGGAAACTCAGCGGCCCAACGAATGCGAGAAACACGTTAAGTGTCAACAGCGGAAATCCATCCGCCTCCAAACAATAACAACTACCGCCACCTGCCGCACGCGCTCCGGGAAGAGGACGTTGCGCCCCCGCCGATCGCCGGTTTCGGGGGGCCGAGCCCGGTCCTCAGGCAGTCGGTGTCCGCGCTCCGCAGACTCAACGAGGACTCGGCCCCGCAAGGGAGAGGGGACGCCGTCTCCCGCGGGGCTCGTAGAGCCACCGCACGAGGAAAGCCCGACACGCTGGCAGGTCAAGCCTGCAGGCGGGTCCGCGGGCAGCCTAAGCGCTCGAGGACCCCGGCGGCGGCGCGGGGTGGCGGGAAGGAGGAAGTTTCAAAGCCGAGTGGCCCGGTTGCCGCCGCTCGGCGAGATGAAGCTGCACTGTGAGGTGGAAGTGATCAGCCGGCACTTGCCGGCCTTGGGGCTGAGGAACCGGGGCAAGGGTGTCCGAGCTGTGTTGAGCCTCTGTCAGCAGACGCCCAGGAGTCAGCCGCGGCCCCGGGCCGGGGGCGAGCCGGGCAGTTCGCACCCCGCTTGCCTGCTCATCTGCACCCTGAAGGACAAGCGCGGAACCCGCTATGAGGTATGTGGAGCGTGCAGGGGCTCCCCGGGGAGTGAGCCACGCGCTCTTCCTCGGAGCCGAGAGGCGGGCCGCCCTTGGGCCCCTCGCGCCTCAACTGTTCCAGAGGCTGGAGTCGGCCGTCCGCCTGGGGAGTTCCTGAGTGCCCGGAGCCTAAGTCCCACCGCTACGCTGCCCCAGGGTCCTGTGTGTTTTCCTGTGGACCCGAAGGAGGAAAGGTTTCGAGAGTGCACCTTTTCTCTTTTTCTTGCCCCATGTCTGCAACTCTGAATTTACAGTGTTGCTGTATTAGCAGTGGTTAGCAACCTCGCCCTTTTAAAAGCCTCTGAAATTTCAGCCTACCTGAAACAACGGCAGATGAAGCAGTTGTCCAGTTTGGGGGAACAGTAAAATTACTGCACTTTCGTTCAGTAAATCCTGCTTCTCCCACAGTCTTTTCTCTAGGTGTTTTTTGGGGATTTTTTGTTTTATTTGGGGGAGTTTTTTGTTTGTTATTAACAGGAGTCTTTAAGAGATGAGTGAATAGTATCCAACATCGATAGGCCGGATTAGTGTAGCAGTAAAGCAGTAATGTTTTGGGTTGCATCTTCATATTTTTATTAAGATTACTGGTTACTGCATACCCTTTTTCCTTGAATGTTTGACCTCTTAAATATCTTTCAAATTTGTATACTTCCATCCAGCTGTGGTGTACACTACCATCCCTTTCCTGGCTAGTCTTAAGGCATCTGCCTGCTTCTATTGTCCTTCCAGTATCCCATCCTCTCCTCCTCCAGAGTTCATGCTTTACATTTCAGTTAAAGGGAATTTTTTTAAATGCAGATCTGATTATCTTCCCCAATTTAAATCCTTCGGTGAATTATAGTATTCTTAAGATTAAATCTAAAATTCTTAATGTGGATTACAGAATCTTTTGCCATCTAATCTCCATTTACTTCTCCATACTCACCTGCCTCTTCACTGGACCTGTCAGCCATACTGAACTTCTTTCAGCTCCTCGCAGCTGCCAAGCTGTCCCTTGCCTTCATGACTTTGCAGTGTTCCCTCTTACTGGAATCTATCCCTTCCATCTCCCCCCAGTGTGTTCACTTGCCTAACATCTCCCTAATCCTTCAATTCTCACCTTTAAGGTCACTTTATACACCTAGGTAAGATTTTCTTGCTATAAAAGGTCATAGCCTGCATTTCCCTTGTCTTAATATTTTTCATGCTTATAATTACTTGTTTAATAACTGTCTCTCTCATCAGCTTGTCAACTCTGTAAGTGTACTTACCATGCCAGTCTTATTTACCACTATGTCCCAAGCTTCTATCATAGTACTTGGTATATAGTGGCTTCTCAATAAATAGTTGTTGAAGTTTAAAGCAGAAACATCAGTCATTAAAAATTTTTGAGTACCTATTATGTGTCAGTCACTGTTCTCACTCTGGGGATACAGTAGGAAACAAAGGAGACAAGACTCCTGCTCTCATGGAGTTTGCATATAATCTTGTGGGAGGTATGCCCACCCCAGGCTAATGGACTCAGGTTATGAAGGTAAGTAACTACGATTGGCAACTGTTACTACAACCACAGAGTTGTAATGGGAGAAGAGGAGCATTCTCTTAAAACATGGATTCTGTTCTCAAAAAGGGAGAGAGTAATGGACAGATAGAGGAATAATATCTACCACTAGCTATGTAAGGGGTGTAACTACTAAAACAAACTAACAAAAAGTTTAAAACTGTAAAACACCCAGAGTGAAGTACTAAAAGCCAGACCAAAGCCCAGCAAAGTGACTGGTATAGTCTAGTTGTAGTAAGTGTTATTGAATATCAATACCTAGTTTTGTCTTTTTTTCCCATTGGTGTTAAGCAGCTAAAGGAGAACATTGAGCAATTCTTCACCAGATTTGTGGATGAGGGGAAAGCTACTGTTCGGTTAAAGGAGCCTCCTGTGGATATCTGTCTAAGTAAGGTATGGTATCAAAGACATTAATGGTTAGATGTCTTGGCTGTATTTTCATTAAAGAAGGCTCTGAGTATCCTGATATCCCATATAGCTGAATAGGGACAGACTTTTGCAGGTGTGTTGAAGAGGTAATGGCACAAGAGGCAGCTTCCCAGATATGCTCGTGTGCCTTGTAAAAGTGCACAGTCAGCCTTAGTTAGGCTCCCAGGATGGGGAGGAAAACTGAGTTTGCTTCTGTGCCCAAGTTGGAGCCTTAGGGTGTTCTTAAATGGAATTCTATAAAGTAAGTGGCACAGGTCTACATTTTGCCACCTAAATCACAGGTTACAAATCTACGTTTGGTGTAAAAAAAAAAAAAAAAAAAGGAGGAGGATAAAATGCAATTAAAATAATATTTTTTTGTATTTCATTTACTATAATTGTTTTTTTTTGTCTTTTTTTTTTTTTTTTTTGTCTTTTT